AAGGGATTAAGGTGGGGGACTATGCAAGGGAACCACTCCTAAAGAAATTTGAGGACATAAGGGGACAAAAAAATGGGAAAACATTTTGTAACTATTCAAAACTTGCTATGTTTTAATCAATTTTGACCTTGACCTTGACCTAAATGCAGAGCCCCGAGTTCTGGCGATCTCAAAATTATTACCAAAATGAATTGGCATCCCCAGGTTAGTTGAAAATGACACCTTAACGTTTTTCTGGACTATTTGTTCATGAGTTAAGCGTGTTTGTACAATTATAATAATAATAATAATAACTTTTACTTATATAGCGCTTTTCATAAAACATTTATATCAAAGCGCTTTACAATATTGATACAATTAAAACTTAACAGAGTAATGACAAGAAAACAAATGAATGAAAGTGAAATTATGAAACATAAGATAACAAGGTAAGGTAACAATATAAGAACTAGGTAACAATTTAAGAACTAGGTAACAATTTAAGAGCTAGGTAGAATATGCCTTTTCATTAGATAGGTTTTTAATTTTGATCTAAACAAAGTAATATCAGAGATGGAACGAATGGAGGCTGGGAGAGAATTCCACAGACGTGGAGCAGAGCATGAAAAGGACCTATCACCAAAGTATTTTGTTTTTGCTTTTTTAACGGTCAAGAGAGTTTGATTTGCAGAACGAAGGGGCCTATTGGGTGTGTATAATTGAATCAGTTCAGAAAGATAATTTGGGGCATGACCATGAAGAGACTTGAAGGTTAAAAGAAGAACTTTGAACTGGATGCGAAATTGAATGGGGAGCCAATGCAATTGTTTAAGGGTTGGTGTAATATGGTCATGTTTTTTGGTGAGAGACACTAGACGTGCTGCAGAGTTCTGGATTCTTTGCAGCGTGGCCATATCTTTTTCCGGAATTCCATGGAGCAAGCTATTACAACTGTCAAGGAGTGAACTGATAAATGCGTGGACGAGGATTTCAGTGGATGACTTGGAAAGGAATTTACCAATTTTACCAATTTTTCTCAGGGCGAAGGATGCTTTACGACAGATACTATTTACATGGGGGTGCATTGAAAGGTTTTGATCAAACGTGACACCTAAGTTAACAACTGTTTTGGAGGAATTTACAGAACCATTTGTTATTTGAATCGGAGGGAGTTCTATTGTATTTCTTCTTCGGTGAGAAAACAGGTGGAGCACTTCCATCTTGTTGTCGTTCAAGAGAAGAAAGTTTTCAGTCAACAGGAGCGAATGGCATGTAGACAATCTTCCAGTTTCTGCAACATTTGAAGAATTTGTCCAGACTTAACAGTAATATAAAGTTGAGTGTCGTCGGCATATATCATCGAGGAGAAACCGTGGGAATGAATGATGTCCTCTAAGGGTGTCGAATAACATGTAAAAAGTACAGGGCCGACGACGGAGCCTTGTGGCACCCCCCACCTAAGCAGAGTAGGATCGGATCGTGAGCCATCGATGATCACTTGTTGGTATCGTCCAGTGATGTAAGATTTAAACCACTTGGTAGCAGTTCCAGAGACGCCAAAACGTGTTTCCATCCTGGATATAAGAACACAGTGATCGACAGTGTCGAAAGCTGATGTTAAGTCTAACAGTATGAGAATCGCATCATCTCCAGTATCCAAAGCACGAAGTATATCGTCTTGGACTCGAAGTAACGCAGTTTCCACGCTGTGATTTTTACGATAGGCAGACTGTCGGGATGCGAGAAGGGAATTTGCAGTAAGGTATTCAGTAAATTGATTTGAGACTACTCGTTCTACTACCTTGCCCAAAAATGGCAAATTTGAGATTGGTCTAAAGTTTCTCAAATTTTCTGCATCCAAAGATGGTCGTTTGAGGGTGGGATGAATCAAAGCAGACTTGAGTGCTGAAGGGAAAACTCCACATTCTAGCGAGTTGTTGATTATGTCCGTGATGGCCGGAACCAGAAGCTCTATACATTGGCTAAGAATGGGTGCTGGTAGGGGATCTAAGTCACATGATTTCATTTTATGTGACTTGATGATCTTCAGTACATCTGCTTGGGAAACTGGCGCAAACTTATCAAGATGATGGTCACTGACTTCCACTTCAGCGATGTTGGAAGACGAAGAAAATGAAGATCTCAATAGATGAATTTTATTGTCAAAAAACTTTGAGAACTTTTGAGTGATTTCAGCACTGGACTGATATGAGGGCAGTGATTTAGAAGGCTTTTCAGCTGTCATCCTGTCAATCACATTAAACAGTTGTTTGCTGTTGCTAGTGGATATGAGTTCGTGGAGATGCTGACTCCTAAAGCTATTGACTAGCTGGTTATATTCTCTCGTTGCTTTCTTCAGGTCGTCAGATACTACTGTTGTAGATGAACACCTGATCTTTTTCCACCGCCTTTCCCTTGCACGAAGAGCTTGTTTAGCCTTCCGGATTTCATGGTTGTACCAAGGAGCATAGGGACGCAGTTTCACTTTCCTTTGCTTGACTGGTGCGTGACGATCAAGATTTGACGCAAGAGAGTTATTGAAAACATCTACCTTCTGGTCAATGTCCATTTCTTCCAGGCTAGTAACTGCTTCAAAGGACTGGGTGATATCTAACTTGAATTGATCAATATCGAGTTCACGTAACTTACGAGCATGAACGATTTTAGTCGTTATTGGTGGTCTCATGAAGGGGAGTGAAAAGATGATCGCCGAGTGATCAGATGGCAAAGTCTGAGTTACCACAATGTCCCTGATTGACTGATCAGTTTCTCTCATGATGACCAGGTCAAGAGTGTGTCCTTTAATATGAGTAGGCTGGGATATGAGTTGACTCAAACCAGCCGACTCCAGTAGGTCTTTAAAGTTATTTGCATCTGCATTTGTTTTATTGTCAACGTGAATGTTGAAATCCCCTAAAATAACCACCTGATTTATGAGCAAGTTGACCGATTCTAGTAGTTCTGAGAACTCCACCAGGAAACGTCCAAATGACTGCATGGCCCCGCGAGCATGATGGAGGTCTATAGATTACAAAGAGTGAAAGGCTTCTTTGATCATTGGACTGGCCAGAGCGTATTAGACCATGCGGCGGACTGGCGGCCATTTTTTATTTGACCTCTCAGGGTCATCAGAGGTCAAATCAAAATGTGAAATAAACTCACTGAAAGGGATTAAGGTGCGTAAATTCCTAAAGAAATTTGAGAACACAAGAGAGAACAAATGACAAATAAATGGGAAAACTTTTTGTAACCATTCAAAACTTGCTATTTTTTAGTCAATTTTGACCATGACCTTGACCTAAATGCAAAACCCTAAGTTCAAGCGATCTCAAAAGTATTACCAAATGAATTGGCATCCCCAAGTTAGTTGGAAATGACACCTTAAACGTTTTTCTGGACTATTTGGTTCAAAAGTTAAGTGTGTTTGTACATTAGAGATTAGACCATGAGGAATAGCGGCCATTTTGGATTTTACCTCTCAGGGTCATCAGAGGTCAAATCTGACTTCCCTCCACATCTGAAAATAAATCTTATGGTCTAAACTAACTATGCTAGAAGTTTCATGCTTTTCTCAAAAAGTGCACAATTTTCATTATATTAGGAGCTTATCCGCTGTACTATGATATTGAAGCCCTAAAAAGTTTTACCATACTCATATTTTCCAATAGACTGTAATGTTATAAAAATGTTAGGAAGACAAAAAATGAAATTTCGATTCGATCGGCTTGTAAAAGTCATGGGATTCCTGACTGACCTAAAGGTTTATAATTATGATTGCAGCATCAGCTAAACCCAGGATTTTGTTTAGAATCTGAGGCAAAGATACCCAATCCCTTTAAATATTGATTGAAATAACAGCCTACATGTACGTACTGTATGCATTATACATATGGTTATTGATCATGCTGACAACGAAACTTCCACAAATTCAAGTTGTTGACTCAGCTGTGTTAAATTCATGCATGTCGATTGAAATTGTATTATCCTTAAAACAGGATTTTCAGCGAACAATACCGTTATCTCTGTCAGTATCTTAACCTTGTGAATTTCTTAATAGTCCTATACATTTACATGACATATGTACATGTACTACAATTTCATTTCATTTCATTTCATTTCATTTCATTTCACTTAGATCTTTCCTCAGGAATGTTATTGCTACAATTGTTTAAACTATTATATACATGTAATATATATATATATATATATATATATATATATATATATATATATATATATATATATATATATATATATATATCATGTACATGTACATGTACGTTTAACCCAGGGGAGTCTTATCAGTATTAATACTGTCTTCCCCTAAGGCTAAGGGCCCTTCTCCAATCGTATTATTAAGTAATAAGTAAAAGTGCATTATTCCTTTGTAGTTCAGGATATTTCTTTCATATTTGGGTCTGTAATTTGTCTACAACATTATGGGCAAATAGTCTTTACCCATAAACAAAAATCAGTTCATGTTGAGCCTAAATGTACATGTATTGCCTACATTGTACATTACTTTTTTTATCAATCTGTTGCTAAGAACTAGACAATATTTATGTGTTATCATATCTTATTTTTGACATGACATAACTGCATTTTTTCATGAGATCAATGTGTGCAAAATCATAACAAATATTTTGTTTGCTCAAAACCTTTTGTTTGTGGGAGCTCTATGGGGATTTCCCATTGCAAAAAGCATTCCTTGCAAAATTGTTAATGTACATGCATGTTCAGTTGATTATTCTTTAAAGTGAATCTCTTTTGTGTTTTCCATACCCTTCTGCTGCCCCTGCCCCAGGGAGTGGAGAATGTTTATACATTGTGTGCAGGTAAGCCTGAATCCGATGACCGGGGTAATAATAACATCTGTAAAGCGCTTTGAGAGGGCCTGCGGTCCTGAAAAGCGCTATATAAGATGGAACTATATTGTATTATTATTATTAACTGAACTCTTTTAACAAATCCATGTATCTTTGAAATAATAATTTGGCAATTGGTTTTGATGTTTCCTTCAGAATTTGACAGCGTCTGGGTGTCAACAGATCATGCTGACATTGCCAGGATATCCAAGGAATGGGGTGCCCAGGTACACATGAGAAGCCCCCATACTGCCCGGGACCAAGCCACCTCCATCGAGGCTATGCAAGAGTTTCTCAAGGAACATCCAGGTATTGAAGATTGTCCATGAAAGCTCTTGTTTAAATGTAATCTTGAGGAAAAAGAAAACAAACGAACAAAAACAAGTTAATAAAGAAACAAAATAAAAAGACTAAGTGAAAAGAAAACCCCAATTACTTTAAATCATTCATGTTCGATGCAAATGCACAGTCGTCTAATATTAGGAAGGTACATATAGGTAGGTATATAGGGAGGGAGGCAGGGTGGGGGAGCAGACCTGCCGACCAGTACAATTTAGTCATATTTCGTACATTTTTTAGAAGCACATCCCACAGTATGATTTTCCTCAGAAAAATAATATTTTCCAAAAACAAAAAACAAAACAATTTTATTTTTTGTTATTTAAAAAAAAAGTATTTTATGTGTGTGTGTGTGTGTGCCATTTTGAATAGCAAAATACCCATTCTGTCCTGTAAAGTATCCTCCAAGCATCTCACATGGGCAATTTGGGGATGTTCATTGGTTCATCGAACACACCAGTCGTGACGAAATCATGCATATTCAACCAATGATCCATAACAAATTTCTTCCTGTATGTTGGAACTGTAAGAGGCATTGATCCACGTAACAGTCTGTGTTTATTTTTAAGAATACAACTTTTGGGATTAAAGAGTACAGTTTTTGAACTCCAGAGGTTGGCAGGTTTGGGGGGAGGGAGGGATGGAGGGAGGAAGGGGGAAGGGAGGGAGGGAGGGGGAGGGGCAGGGAGGGAGGAAGGGGGAGGGAGGGAGGGAGGGAGTATTATTTTTGGCCTTTAATGATAGCCTGCCTTTTTGCTCCCTGACATCATTGTTCATGATGCCACATAGGGATATGCACATACAGGCAGTTTAGTTCTCTCTAGTTTCCAGAGCTTTTTTGCAGATTTCCAAAGCTGAATTGCACACCACTCCCTTGACCCTTTCCCTTGCCTACCTTATGTCCCACCACGGCACTAATGTCCTTGTGCAAGACATTGATCTACATTTGCCACTCTTCACCCCGGTGTCGAATGTGTACCTGGTAGGATGCGAAAGCTAATGTGCTTTCATTAGCAAGTGTGCACTTGTAAAATGACGCCTGGCTGGAATGCTCCCCAGGGAGTAGAGGATGTGCATACATTGTGTGCGGGAAAGCCTGAATCCGATGACCGGGGTAATAATGTATATATCTGTAAAGCGCTTTGAGAGGGCTTTCGGTCCTGAAAAGCGCTAAGAACTAGCTAATATTACTATATTATGATGATTCTTATTTTGCTTTATTTCACTGACCAGAGGTCAAGTTTGTAGCCAACGTCCAGTGCACATCTCCTTGCCTACATCCATCCCACCTCCAGAGGACCTGTCACATGATCAGAAACCTGGGCTACGACTCGGTGTTTGCCGTCAACAGGAGGCACCTCTTCCGATGGACAGAGACCCCTATAGACCAAGGTGGGCAAAACAAATATCTATGTGAAAATTTGCATCGGGAAGATATGAAATGGAAATGAAAATGAAATTTAAACTTTCACAGTTGAGTGGTTTCTATGTTGACTGGAAATGTCCAAGCGCAAGTGTGCTGTGGTAAGTCATTTTCTATTTCCTTCTTCTTCTTCTTCATCTTCGTTTTATTATTATCATTTTCCTTATAATCATTAGAAGTATCATTATTTTTATTATTATTATTGTAATTATATTGTTATAACTATTGTCATAATTATTATTATTATTAAGGTTGATAATGTAACCCATAAGTATTGGCGTATACTGCAAGGTTTACAAATCGTGGAAGTGATATATGAAATTGGCCCAGTCTTGCTAAATCTTACATGCTCTGTACTCAGAAATATGTATAATGGGACTACACAAAATGTGGCAGGAAATTGTGGTCCACAACTGTTACTGTTACTTGTCTTATTTCAAATATGAGGGCATTTGAAGAGCTATCCTTTTCTGGAGACATTTTTTTATTATTGTTATTACTCTTGGTATTATCATTATTATTATTATTATCACTAGCATAATTATTATTGTCGTTATTATTATTACTATTGCAGCTGTGAGTACAAAGGCTGAGAACCTCGACCCTGCTAAGAGGCCACGCAGGCAGGACTGGGCCGGCGAGCTGTATGAGAATGGATCCTTCTACTTTGCAACAAGAGAACTCTTGATGGCTGGACTCTTCCAGGGTGGAAAGTAGGTGAAGTCTAGAATATTATAGATATATCGACTGCTATGAGAGGTCTGGCTGTTTTTATAGGCTCAAGGGGATGTTGCATCCTGCCATGTCTCGAGGCGCGCCAGCAGTCAATATGTCTTTTATATACCAAATTGACACAAAAATCTACCACGAATTCTTACCTTGTCCTTTTCTTGAGTTAAGATTGTTAAAACATCACAGAAAATCTGAGACACTGTCTGTTAATCTTCGCTGGAAAGATGACTGAAAGGGAATCGCAGACAAAAAGCACTTTATGGTATCAGCGCTCACACAAAGTAAGTTTTAACACATAAACCAATAGGGATCTCATCAAAATTTTACTATTTTCCCGTATCCGGAATCTTTAGGGAATCTCACTCATGAACTACATGTACACTGTATTAACCGTTAAGGGCATGGCTAAAATCACAACTCCAATTTGGACCAATCAGATGGCTATATTTGTAAAGAGAGGTATATAATTCACAACTTTTACCGAAATTACGCACCCCCTACCGCCAACATCATCATTTACCTTTGGTTACCTTCAAATCCTTTCCTTGACTTTTTTGAAATACATGTTATGGATAGGCTTTGTGTACTTTGGATTTCAGTAATGCTAATTTTCATGGAATTGGGAGAAATTGTATCATCCTGATGCTGTAAAAAAATTATGATGAAGAGCCACAGATATGCAGGTTACACTCGAAAGCTCTCCATTTCCACCTACGAACCAATCAGAGATGGTGTGCTTTAGCTCTGAAAGCCATCACCTATGAACAGTGCCGCATTTCAAGGAACATGTTCTGCCAAGTAGTCATTTAACACCTGGGTAGAGAGAGACAATCGTATTTAAAATGCCTTGCCTAAGAACATGTACTGGATAGAGATTTGAAACTTATTTTAAAGGGTGAAGTGAATGAATCACTCTCACACAATACTCTTACAATGAATTTCAATGTATGACTGCTTTATATGCTTGAGGAAGTTCAAAGAAAAAAAGTTCTGGTCATCCGATTGCATTGTGAAAGAAAGTGTGTGGAAGTTATTGGAAAAGGTTGATAATGTAACCCATAAGTATTGGCGTATACTGCAAGGTTTACAAATCGTGGAAGTGATATATGAAATTGGCCCAGTCTTGCTAAGTCTTACATGCTCTGTACTCAGAAATATGTATAATGGGACTACACAAAAATGTGGCAGGAAATCGTGGTCCACAACTGTTACTGTTACTTGTCTTATTTCAAATATGAGGGCATTTGAAGAGCTATCCTTTTCTGGAGACATTTTTGTATACACACGATTCCACACTAACATAAAAGGTTGAAAAAGCCCACAAATTGATTTTCACCATTCCCAGAACTCATCCTTTTCTTAATTAACTTTGTGTTTACTCTAGAGTTGGCTATTGTGAGATGCAGCCTGAGTACAGCGTGGACATCGATACCGACATCGACTGGCCCATCGCAGAGCAGCGAGTGATTAAGTTTGGCTACTTTGGCAAGACCAAGCCCCAGGGTGTCAAGCTGGTGGTCTTCGCAGCAGACGGCGTCCTCATCGACAACCAAATCAATTTTACTGCAACAGGTAATGTATAATAGCTTAAAGCCCATCTGCACTAGTTTACAGGATGGATTAGACCACCCTGCAAGGTCACTGACAGGTGGTTATCTCATCAAATCAGCTGTCACTTAACATAAGAAAAAGAGGATCTTGGGGGACCAATGGTCACCTATTAGGCATTGTTTGCTATATAGAGGGCACAAGTAGCTATAAGTAGTGCAGTGAGGCTTTAATAGCCACATTTGAGGCAATCCCACCCTTGTAATGAGTTCATTTGTATGAAAGCAGAAGGAAAAAAAAGAAGAAAGTTTTGAATAAATCGGACCAGTAATAAGAAAGTTATGAAGGTTTGAAATATGAAATAAGTAAATCTGTGTGAATCTCAAATTGGCAATTGACTTTTATCTGCAGACTGTGACTAAGATCTGGGTCTCAAGGGGAAATCCCTTGGAATTTTGTAATCGACTGTAATTATGTGTATCTAGTAGATCACAAATATGAACAATTACCGTAGATCCTAGAGAGATGACAAAATAATGTATTTGGTTACAGCAAAAATTATAAATGACCAACATTTCCTTAATCTGCATATGGCCATTTTATCTAAAAGAATGATAATGGATTGATGCTGTTGATAATGGACCAGTTCATAGTTAGCTTTGGTACAAATGACCCCCTAATACCCATGGATCTTTTACACATGGAGTGGTTCCCCTTTGTGTATTTTAGATTAATCAATGCCAAATTCTTGGATGTTCTTCATTAAAAGCTTTTGTTTGCCCTCTTGAGCAGAATACTTGCACTTGTAATCCATAGAATGTACCGTCGGTACATATATGAATAACGATTACCTAACTTTCTTGAGCATGTATCCAGTCTTCATCTCTTCCCATGCTCAGATCGTACAGTATCTACTAACTGGTTAATTGTCTTTGAGGTGTTCACACTTGTACAAGCATTGCTTTTTAGTGGACCCCTCTGGTCCAATATGTATTTCTACATTTGTTGTAAATGTTTTTAATTAATTTGTAATGTTTTGTTGGAAGCATAAATAAATTGAAATTGAAATTGAAATTGACTTAATTATAATGCCCTGACTGGAAGTCCTCTGACCATTGTCCATCAAGTAGATTACAATGCCACTAATTCACATTTCTCTTTTATAATTTTTTTTTTTTAGGAGAAGAGTTCCGTTCTTTTAGCCTGAGCGACTCCATCGGTATCAAACATCTGAGAGAGAAAGGCGTAGAAGTCAGGGTCATTGCTGGTATGTAAATACGAGGGATAACATATTGTGACCCGTGATTGGATTGGATTTGATTTTATGTTTTGTATTAAACAACCAGTTATAACAGAAAGGCATACTAAGGGTTAAAAATACTGATGATAATAATGATAAAAGTTACATTTGTATAATGCAGTCTAAAAAAGAAAACAATTCTATTTTCTTTTGACCTCACTCCTTTGCAATCTGTCGGTAGATAGGACACTGATCTTTTATGGAAGAGGCAAAATATCAAAAGCAAATATGAAAATGCTGTTAATATTCATGCTTTCTCGCAGTAAAATAATACAAGTTTTTCCATGGAGACCTTAAATTATTTCCCCATATTAGTCATCATTAACCCTATTTAGCCCGGGCTGTTTTGAAACTGCATAGCCCGGGGGGGGGGGGGGGGGGGGGGGCTTCTAAGGCCCCCCCCCCCCCCCCCCTATGATCTCGGCCGTGAAACGAACGATCGCCGCGAAAATTTGCATACATGTCAAGTGAAGTGTATAGAACACTATGGTAATTTCAATTTTTTGAAAAATTCACTCATTTGCATATTTATGGTAATTTATGCAAATAAGGTCATCAAATTCACATATTTGCCCATAAATCAGACATTATTCATATTTAAGCATTTTTTCTCACTACATATATTTGTTAGACCATTTGAAATAATAAAACAATACAAAAAATTGAAAAACCAGGGTTATTCCATATGTTATCTATTGTTTTGATAATTTCTTATGTATTTCTTTGTTTTTTTAACTTATGTATGTTATTGTTTTTGTTGTTTTATTTCATTTCCAACTATAATTCAACTATTTTGACCCCAAAATAAACACCTTAACTATAAACAAGACCAAATAACCAATGTTTATCTCTTTATTTGAAAAATGAGATTTCCATATGTTTTGTACACAAATCACAAAAATGAGCGATTTCGGGCTGACATGCAAAGACAAAGTGACACATGACTTTGTAATGGTAGGTCCGATTTTCGAAAAATTTCTTTCAAAAGATGCGCCAGACCTGAAAGAAAAAAGTCACAAAATTTCAGTGCAAGATTTTCTTGCGTTAAAAAATTATCGCGAAAAATGTCCAGGAGGGGGGGGGCTTCTAAAGCCCCCCCCCCCCCCCCGGGCTAAATAGGGTTAAGTGCCCCCTCCATTTCCACTTCAGTATGTATTTGAAATTTTGTAACAAAACCACCATCAAGGGGCATAGCATCAAGTTTGGCTGCGGGGCCACGAAGCACTGATGCAGCTAGTATACATGTATACATATTATGTACCATTGGTATTTTTGCCGAGATTCCAATTTTGTTTATTGCCAATATTTACCATCACCTTGTGTCTCTATTCCAGAGTGTGCATACTTTGTTGAGCAAACTGAACTTTGGACTTGTAGGAAATACACTTTGGTTCTGTTTACTCAATATTAGCACCTCTAGATTTTGTTTCTCCCCCGTTTGTGTATTGATTTTCTTGATTTTGGATATCTAAACTAAAATTTAGACAGGTTTGTTAAATACATGTAGTTTTTCCATGGCTGTGAAATTTTGTAAATTGTCTCAATTTGTCATATTCTCCAACTCCGCCCTTGTCGAAATTCAGCAAGAATGCTGATAAACAAAACAGACCAACATGTAAAATACATGGTTGCATCACAAAATTATTAGAAAATATGAGATATAGTACATGTATATAATAATAACTGCAACTGTACTTGGCAATAAGAGTTAAAGTCTTTTCACAAATGATGATAGCACTGTCTTGCAATTACCCGTCATATAATTAACACAAAGCTTATGTACTGTTTCGTGTTAGAAACACCTGTGCGTGAGCAATGAATTACATTTTGAAGCCATGTACCGGTACAGTGGTACAAATGTTTTAATTTGGCCAGCTGTTGTACAAAATGAGTTTTAAAAAATCCAGATGAAAGTTTGAATATCTAATATATCCTTTGACCAGACATTAATCTACTTTTGTCACTCTCCACCCAGGTGTTTAATGGGTACCCGGTAGGATGCGAACGTTATTAAATGTGGTTGGATTGGTATGTGCGCGCGTGTAAAATGGCGCCTGGCTGGAATACTACCCAAACAAATATCTGCATTAAAACTTTAAACTTGAATCTTGTACAAAGGTGAAATATTTCTGTAAATTTTGCACCCATTCTCGATCTTTCAGATGAGGAGAACGCTGTCACCACCAAATTGGCAGCTCGGCTTGGTATCGCCATGGCTACAGAAAGCAAGAACAAGGTGGATCTGCTGAATGAGTGGAGAAAAGGACTTGATTTAGATTGGAGTCAGGTCGCATATATGGGTACGTCTTAAAGGCATCGTTTAACAATGTGAAATCTGAGATGCATGACCCTACGTGTTATCAGTGTCTGTGATATGGTGTAATATTGAAGCCCTAAAAAAATTGCGCTTCAAAATGATCATGAAGTGCCTCAAAAAGTGAAAATCTTTGAGTAACTGGTTTTACCGTACTCATTTTCCCTAATAGACTGCAGTGTTAGAAAAACCATTAGTAAAACAAAAAATTAAATTTTGATTTCCAATCGTAAACATCTTGATAATCAGACAGGGTATCGGCTTGTAAAAGTCATAGGATTCCTGACTGACCTAAAGGTTTATAATTATCATTGCAGCATGAGTTAAATCCGGGATTTTGTTTCAGAATCTGAGGCAATTTACCAGGCTATAAGTATGCTTTTGTACTTTTGTCTGGGCGAATTTGCCCTTGGTATTTTTTTCTTCTGAAATCCCAACATATTATTTACAAGCAACAAAACCTGCAAAGCACTGTGAATGAAAATATATCTCTATGTTGTTGAGGGTTCCAAAGGTCATGGAAAAACCTGGAAAGCCATGAAAAATGAAGAAGAAAAAAAAGAATCTCCCAAAGTCAGGGAAAGTCATAGAAATTTCAAGGGGAGGCAGAGGCTATCACAAACATGTTATGATATATATAGCACTGCTTTGTATTCGTATGCTGCTTGGATGCTGCATCCACTTCCAAAATGGAACTCATCTGGCCTTTACGAATTCGAGGATACGGCGCCACTGACACGGTTCCAGGATACCACTGCAAATTTGCAAATTTTGTCAGCAGGCTGCCCCTCATTCTGTTTTGTGTGATAATTCTTGTGAGTTTGTATTGTGCTCTTCGTATACCGGTATTTTGCAGACCAATTATTGTGCGAAATCGTGGATATTTTGATATTTTACGAGGACAAAAATCTCACTGTGAATCATTTACACCTATCGGAAGATTACCTTCCATTGCGCCGCTACGTCAGGCGTGCTTCTTTGTTTAGACTCGCTTGATATATAGGCCTAACCATGGAGTTCAGGTACGTACTCTCAATAGTCATTCTCTGCATTGCTGCCATTAAAAGAACAGAAGGTAGAAGATTCACTATCCCATACTTGAGTGATTCTGAATGGAACGTTCACAACCTAGCTGTGAAAGATCGCACCGCTCCCCTTCATTATGATCTTGGCTCCAACATTGTTAGCCCTAAAGTGGCAGCAAACTCTTTTGTCGATATCGTGACTGAATATTTTCAGGAGCAAAATGAATTTCTCGAAAATCAAACCAACCAGATGTATATTGAACACGAACCCAAAACGCTTACTCAGGCTAGGAAACGGAAAAACCTACTACGAAAAAAAGCATTCAGCAAAGATGCAACCAAAGAGGACCAGGAAGCATTTAAACTTGCAATAAAAACAATATCGTACTTAAAGAAAAAAACAAAGGAACACAGGGACAAAAAATCTAGAGCCCACTTGGAGAAAAGATTTTGGGATAACTTCTATGATTTCTCGAAGAAAGTATGTAATGGCTCGTTACATGAAAATTCACCTCGGCCAACGTTTTCTCAGATGGAAGCAGACGAATATTTTTGTACAGCGTCCCCAATGTTATTGATCTTACGTCGTTGTCCTGGTTCCCGTACGTTAACGTGAATTCAGAAAATTACCAAAGCTTCGATATGAACTCGTTAAAACCCAAGGATGTTAAGAATGTTCTGAAACGGAAAAAAGCAAGATCAGCACCCGGTGATGATGGTCTGATGTATGGTATGCTAAAACACTTGTACTGTACCCACCACTTCCTGGCAACATTATATAATAAGATTTTGGAAAGTGGTGATCCCCCCGAAATGTGGTCCGAATCAAAAGTTGCCTTAATTTTCAAATCTGGTGAAACAACAAAACCAGAAAATTTTCGGATGATATCTTTGACGTGTTGCATTGGTAAAATATTTAATCAGATCTTATCGGAGAGAATGTCAACCTATCTCACAGCCAATGAATTCATAGATAAACGGGTCCAGAAGGCATTCATTAACGGAGTGAACGGCTGTATAGAACACAACCAAGTCGTTCATGAAATTCTGAAACATGCTCGATGTAAACAAATAACATTGCACATCACATTCTTCGACCTGGCTGACGCGTTTAGCAGCGTGAGTCATCAGCTGATCTCTACGTCATTAAGCCGTTACGCAATACCACAACCAGTAGCCCATTACATTGATGTTCTCTACTCAAGACTGAATGGCAGAGTATGCGGTCCGGGGTGGCAATCGGAACGCTTTGCTTTCAGGAAAGGGGTTTTTCAGGGAGACCCTCTATCCCCAATTGTATTTCTCATGTGCTTCAACCCAATTATTGAATATCTTGAAACCCAGAAGCAGCAATATGGTTACGATTTCGCCGGCCAAAAATTAATAACTACTCCGTATGCCGACGACTTCAACCTGATAACTGGAAATAAAAGGTATCATCAAAAACTTGTTCAAGAAGTAGATAAACTTCTCAGTAGTATGGGCTTAACAGTCTAAGCTAAGAAGTGTCGTTCCTTATCAATTTCAGGCGGTAAACCAACAGTTATTGATTTTTCCTTAGCTAGGGAACGAATTGCATCTGTACAAAATAATCCTATTAAATTTCTAGGATCTCACATTACTTTCAAGATGAAGACTTCAGAAACATATGATTTCATCCGTGATAAGGTTGATAGTACCCTCACGAATATAGATAGTGTAAACATAAAAAACGAGTATAAGCTAAGAATCCTTAATGATTATGCTCTCTCCTCTATGAGATTAACTGTACATGACCTTCATGCAACTCACCTTGGACAACTAGATACACTTCTAGACAAATACATTAAAAAGTGGATGGGCATCCCTCGGTGTGGTGCCAATATTGCTGTAGTTCATGCCCCAGGGGGGCTTAATAGTATCTCTGAACTCTACCAAACATGTCATTGCCTTGCCTACAGTAGATCGAAAGTTAAAGGCGACGAAATGGTAGTTCATGCCCTAGATCAACAACTGGCCAGAGAGGAAAACTGGACCAGAAAGTCATCTACAATCCAGGTTGCACACCAAATTCATCAAACCAGTTTACAAACGAATTGGAAAGATACTAAAAAATCAGTCAAAACGAACCTGAAAGAGGAAAGCAGGAAAAAGTGGAAAAATGAAATAGAACCTCTTCTAGTCCAGGGTGAATTCATGAAGGTACTAGAAATAGAAAACTGTGACTTGTCCTGGAAGTCCATCATCTTCAATCTACCACAAGGAGTTATGAAATTTGCAATAAATGCAGCGATTGATAGTCTGCCGAGTAATAAAAACTTGTATAGATGGGGTAAGCGAATAAATGACTTGTGTAGTTTATGTCAAGCCAAAGGTATTTTGCATCACGTATTGAATAATTGTCAGGAAATAGATACACGTGGCATGATAATAACATTGTACATAATCTGCTAAAGAGCATTAAACAGAACGGCCTTGATAGTGATCACCAAGTGTATGCTGACGTGGAAGGGGAGACAATCAGTGGAGGGATGGTTCCCCCAACCATTGTTCCAACACAACAAAGACCTGATTTATGTTTCATTCATTTTAGAAAAAAGGAAATACTAGTATTTGAGTTGACAATTCCATTTGAAACCAACATTCAACAGGCCCACCAAAGAAAGCTCGACAGGTACGCCGGACTAATACATGATATCTCAGAAGCCGGCTGGACTCCCAAATTACTGTGTGTAGAGATAGGTTCCCGAGGTTTGATAACTCCTGACAACAAGAAAAGACTTATAGATATGTTGAAAACATGTAAATGCAAAGTAAGGTATCCACAACTGAGAAATAAAATCTTGAAAACCGTACTGTTTGGGTCGTACGTTATTTTTTACAGCCTGTCGGAACGCACCTGGCAATCACAACATTACTTGGGAGTGTAAGTGGTTTAACTACTTGGTATGACTTACAATAGAGAGACCTCTTTCTCTCCCTCTCGCTCTTTCTCTCTCTCTCTTTCTTTCCCTCTTTCTTTCTTTCTCTCTCTTACCCTCACCTCTCTCTCTCTCTCTCTCTCTCTCTATCTCCCCCTCTCTCTATGGGGATAGGTTCTCGTGGTGTGATTACGCATGCTAATATATTGACAGATATGATGACGGTACCTAAATGTAAGGTGTGTCATAATTATGTAATTGGGAAAACTAATATTTCAAAAGTATATTCTGTGTGCTTATATTGTTTTTTACAGCCAATCTGAACTCACTTGGAATCACTACAACAGTTGGAGGTGTAATTACTTTAAATTAGGATACGTATGTAACTTGTTATAACGGGACCTCCCTCTCTATCTCTCCCTCTCTCTCTCTCTCCTTCTCTCTCCTTCTCTCTCCTTCTCTCTATATCTATCTCTTTCGCTCTCTCTCCCTCTTCAACTCTGTCTCTCTCTCTCTTTCTATGGAGATAGGTTCCCGTGGTTGATTACTCATTAAGAAGAGATGTATTAATGTATTATGAGGCATTGCTAACTAATAACATATAATTATTTTTGTTTTTGTTATTTTTTTAGGAATTATTAATGTTTTCATTTAAAACACTGACGTTATGATGTTCTCTTTTCTGTTTTGTTATTGTGTATTGTAATTGTTTAACCCTGCATGAGATGCATCTAATGTAATACAAATCTCTGTCCTGGGTTTTATGTCACATCTTTATTATTATGTTATATGTATACTTTCTTGAATAAAGATGAATAAACAACAACAAAGCAACAAAACCTGCAAAGCACTGTCAATGAAAATATATCTCTATGTTGTTGAGGGTTCCAAAGTTCATGGAAAAACCTGGAAAGCTATGAAAAATGAAGAAGAAAAAAAAGAATCTCCCAAAGTCAGGGAAAGTCATAGAAATTTCAAGGGGAGGCAGAGGCTATCACAAACATGTTATGATATATAGAGCACTGCTTTGTATTCGTATGCTGCTTGGATGCTGCATCCACTTCCAAAATGGAACTCATCTGGCCATTTAGAAGGGTAAAAAATGGGTCATGGAATGTCATGGAAAGTCATTCTCAAATTTCCATGGGAACCCTGATATACCATCTCAAAGTGCTGGCTGACATTTCAAAAGACCTTTTTACAAAAAAACAAAAAACAAATAAACAACCGTTGTTCTATTACCAGGTCAAGATACTCCGGACCTTGATTGCATGAAGACGGTCGGGATCGGAGGAGCGCCCGTCGACGCCCAGAACGAGATCACCACCACGGCCAAGTTTGTGGCCAAGAGCAAGGGAGGTAAGGGAGCAGTCCGGGAGTTCTGTGATCACCTGCTACTGGTGATGGAGAAGGCCAAATCTGCAGCGGAAGACAGGAAGATATAGGGTTGTACGACACTTGCTTTGGCGAAAGGTGCTCCACGGTTGATTCCAGTGGGAGCACAGTGGTGTATTAGTTAAGGTTCTTGACTCACGTACATGTACAGAAGGTCCTGGGTTCAATGCTTTCATAATGCTTATATTATTGGAGAAGGTATTTAGCCCAGATCCTTCCCTTATTTTCAGGCGTAATAAGCTATTGCCTACTGGAACCTGGTGACCCCTGTATTAAACGTATGGCTATGATTGAATTCTGTAGTCATCAGGTTAACTCGGTACATGGCATTGCTGGGGTAATAAAAATCACAGGGCCCTCAGAAAGAGCAATATTCATTCCAGGGTGGCTACCTTGGTAAAGAAGACAAAAATAAAAATTGAATGAATTACGGTATTAACCAAAATCCCAAATTCTGACCATGTCCCCACCAATATACCTAACCCCAACCCTAAACATAACATATAACTTGATTATAACCCTAACCTTAACCCTACACCTAACATATAACCCTAACCTTAAGCCTGTATTTCTGATGGAGTTGAGCAGTTGTCGCCGCAGCAAATGTCAGATCACTCAAATTAAACATGAAATGATAACCTGGAGGTTAAAAGCCTTGGTGCCCAATGTTCCTGTAAATGTAGGAGTCTTTGACAGTGTACAAGAGGGAAGTTCTAGGCCCTGCTCTAGGAAAGTTATTATCAAAAAAGAACTTACAGTGATTGATGGTACATTGTAGCTAATGAAATTACTGAAATCGTTACAATTGATTGACTTTGAGAGATTATAATAATAATAATAATATCAACTTATAAAGCGCACATATCCATTCTAAAAAGACTTGATAGCAAGTTAAAATCTGTTTCTTTTGCATCCCCATGAACACCAACTTTGATTTTAATACCTGATTTGGATGTTCCTATTTAGAAATTCATTCTAGAATTAGATGTAAGCTGTACACAAACTATGTTTGTTAGATGATTGGTACTTATCAACAGTTTGTACCTTTTAGAATGTGTGGCATACACACAAACGAAGAGCCCTATGTCATTATAACTTTATGAAAATCTTGGATGAATATATAGGGCAGAGTGATTTCTATAACAAAGGGGTAGTACACATGTCAGTCAATATATCCTTTCATTCCTTGTCTAAAATCAACATAAAAATCTTTACCAACCATTCTATAGACCTACGGATACGGAGTATGAAGAAAATAAAAAATTTCATAAAACCTTGCACACAAAACAAAAGTCGAACTTGGAATCCGTGTGGGCCTTATTCTGTGCGAGCACGTATGCGTCTGTCTAGTAGTCTACTCACTGGTTACTTTTTATGTTGATTAAGAATGTATTTAAATTTGCAGTATGTCTTTGTAGAAGTAATATGGAACCTTTAACAAACATTTGTAACAAAATATTTCATGGTGATCGGTACACTTCAATATTCAGAAAATGAGAGTTATTGGCTTAGCGAAACAGTAGCGTAAGATATCTTGTCTTTCCTATCCATTGTAGAGGAGAACTAGAATTGTGACTTCGATTTGGTGAATGTTTGGGGCATGTCAGCTCCTACCTATGTTCAATGTATGGTTCTAAGAAACAAAGTGTATTGGTTTTACACGATTATTACCAAAATGGTGGTAAAATAAGAAATTAAAGTATATAATTAAAAAAAAGCAAGCAATTCTCTTCAAAATCACAGATTTTCTTCTTAGTTTTGCAGAAATTCAACATTAGCTTTAAACCTTACTTGCCTTTTTTGCTGCTAGTATTCGTTGTTTTCCATTTGATATACTTGTACATGTAGAATATTTGGATGCCTGAAAAATGGCAACAAAATAAGTTGATAGTGCTTTATAGTGTGGGTGTGTAGTTGTTGTTTTTGTTTGCGCCAAATGTGCAATTTGTAACAGGAAATGAAAAAGGTTAGTGATGCCAAATGGAAAGAATTTTTTTTTTTTTTTGATGTTGGCAAAGGAAGGATCTTACTTAAGGTTTCTTTAGTTCTTTCTCCCTTTGGGCACTACTCGAAATATATATATATATATATGTATTTACTTTAAGACATTTTAAAGGAAATTAACAGTGCCTAATCATAGTTCAGCCAGTGATTCACATACATCGTTAATTTCCACAGTATTCCATCTTATGGTTGAGGAGAAATTTCAATCTACTTGTCTGTGACAGATATGACACAAAATAGACAAAGCTTGTTGACTCACTCTTAACAAGTTGAAAAGTCTGTGATGTTGGAAGTTCCAATGAATCTAGTTTAGGCACTAAAAATGTATAATCATACTCTAAATCTATATCCATATTGTTAACTATTTGGATTATACATTCCGTAGTAATAGCGTAAAATGTTGTTTAACAGACGTTATATATCTGAGTATCTTTGCTTTAAGTTTAATAATGCTATTATAGAAAGCTCTTTTCTGTAATATTTTCCTGTTTTAAAATGGAATGACAGTAGTTGAACATATAGTAAACCTAGTACAGTGGTTATTGAACTTTTTGGTTGACAAATTAGCTCCTTGACATAATGTTAATACTTCAATAGTTGAATATTCCGTCTCAAAATTAAGTCCTGAGAAAATATTATATATGAAAGTGTGACCGTAGTGTTCAGTATTTATCTTGCTTTCAAAACTAGGGTAGATTCTTGTACTAGTTTTCAGTTTTCTTCCTACATAATGATGTCTTTTATACTTAAATAAATCTATGAGTAGTGAATACCTATTAAGGTATGGCATGAATTTGTTGTTTTTATTAATGTATTTGAGCACCTTTAACACGTAAATTTTGAGTGAAGATGGAAAATTGCCGTTTGACAATGCTAGTCAGAGAGAGGTAGAGAGAGGAATAGGGGGAGAGAAAGAGAGACAGGGAGAGAAAGAGAGAGAGAGAGAGAGAGCTTCTTTTTTTTTTAATATGGAAGAAACTTTATTTCTGGTGGGGCTCTTGTTCCTTTTGCCATCAAATATACTGGTCTGGATATGGAAAGAGGTGAGTGCATTGTGTGTTGAGAAGAAGAGAGAGAGAGGAATGTGAGAAGGCGGGAAACAGAGAGGAAGAGGGAGAGAGAGAGAGAGAGAGAGAGAGAGAGGGGTGAAGGAGGGAGAAGGAGGCGGGGATGGCAGAGAAAGTTGAGAAAAAAAATCAGGGGGGGGGGGGTGGATACCGATCAAGAGGGGTGAGGGGGCGGGGTAGAGAGGCGGGTATATGAGAAGACTATTAGTGGACTGGGTAGGGTGAGGGGGAGATGGGCCGAATTTATCCTGAATACGTCTAATTACACGTACATTGCTCCTGCAGCACCTAATATAGCAGAAGTGACAGTAAACCTCAAAACTCCAATTAAAACCTCATGAATATATAATTCTATAAACAACGTAATTAGATGAAACAAACGACTATAGGTATATTATACTTTGTCAGTAAATCTATACACTTTGAAACATGCTCATGAGATAATGAGGACTTCATTTAACAATTTGGAGTCATTTCTTTAATTAGTACAAATTCTAAAGGTGTCTAGGAACTAAAATATTGCCTAATTAAACATTATATAATTTGGATATTCAATTTTGTTTGTCGGACGTAAATATAACTTGTACACAGTGCATCTTGTTTATATAATTTGTTATGTATGGTACACGAGATATCAGCTTCGCCTACAGGCTCTTCACACTAGAGGAAACGTTAGAGATATATCAAAATTAAAATAATTAAAATAACATTTGTTTAATAAACATAGCGAATTCACTAATAACGCGCTTACGAGTATAATCACACGTCTTCTGACCCCATCTTGTCATTTGGGATGAGGAATAGTTTTCCCAATATTATTCGTGACCCATTTCATGATTCATAAACAAAATGCTGAATTAAAGCTTTCACAGAAGATTTATTCCGCTTGTCGATGTCACGTCGATGTTCCGATCGTGTGACAGCCTCACCGTAGAGACGCTATAGGTCATTCCATAAAGTTGGGGCAAAAAATATGACGGTGTCCATGTAACGTAGGTATGAGATCTTCTACTACACATGGAAGATGGAATTACCTGTTGAAGATTTTTATGCAGTGAATATATATAGTAGTGCCCTGCCAGAATCAATCCTGTTTCAGTTGCTTTTCTTCAAAATCTTTGCTTTATACACATTTCTCTTTTTACCATCGTTACATGGACACCATGTTCATATAACATTACATATACTTTGGGTCCATAATATTGATTCACCATGAAGCTTGAGTACTTCTGAAGATAATTGGCTATGCTTTGTATGCAAAACTCAATTTGTGCAAACATTGTTACAGTTGATAGGAGACATATTTTCTCACTTCTGGTATGTCACAAAAACTGCCCCAACTTTCTGGAGAGGCCCCGATACGGAGCAGTTTACATCTTTGTCAAACGTTGCCCTAAAACTGTTTCCCCCTCTTCTTTGCCTCGAGTAATGAAAATATTGCATTCGTTTGCTTTTCTTCGTATCGTCTATATTAATCTAATTAAGTAACACGACTCTTGGATATCTCGTTAATAAGAACAGATTTTTGTATTGATCTAAAAGCAAGTTGTTATGCATGTATTGGAGAGATCAAGTCATCATTTTAGGAAGAATTTCATCATTTCGAAGAATGCGCTTCTAGTGTGCGTCATTTTTACCAATTATTTCAAGTCATCTGAGACACTAGCTGGGTATATTTATATTTACATTTATTTAAAGATTAGTTTTTCTTCAAAAATATATTTCGTATGTATACAATTTAAATTCCATTCAATAATCAATCGAATGATGACAATAACATTACACTAATATTAATAATATACTAGTGACAAAATAAAACCGATTGAGATACCCGCTAAAAGCATAAGCTTTCCTTTATTGGTCTTCCCGATATGCATATCTTAATATTCCGAGATAGATGATGTAGAGCTACGCCTTTATACTAAACGTCTCGCAGCGAAGTAGGCTTTTATACTCGTAGTAACTCGACCAAACTGAAA